TTGTAGTTTTTAGCAGCAGCATGCCTAAGCAGTGACCAGTCCGCCATTTTGGATGTGACGTTACGACCGTTCTGTCCCTGGTTCTGTCCCAACCCTGAACCCTGATGTGACTTTGAGTCCAGACTTCATAGGGGGTGTAGGGAGCTGAGCACCGGGCCTTAATCCTCTGCCTGCCTGCCTCTCCTGGTCAGCAGAGGTTGATATCAGATTATAGCCGCCATGATGGTTTTTCTGAAGAAGCTCTGCCTCTACAGGGAGCGCCACCAGCAGCCATCTTTAAGCAGAACTCCCACAGAGGAGCACCGCCGATAGACCCACACACAGTGGATACTCAGTAGTTCGCCTCACCTGTTGCCTGTCTGCAGCTGCTGCATCAGAACCACCTTAGGCCCAGTTCAGCAGAACCTTCTGCTGTTGGGAATCCAAACAGGTTCTTCTGGAAATTCAGAAAATTTCAGCGCTCCTCTTCCTCATCTGAGGAAGGATGAAGCTCCTTCTGTCCGCCTGCAGCTGGACCAGAACCAGGACCAGGTTCTAGTTCCAACTGGTTTCAGCTTCCTGGGATGAGGAAGTGATGCGGTGGTGACTTCCTGTAAATCAGCTGGTCTGTCCAGGTCTACGTCCCGGAGCTGATGTTCTGATCCAGTCAAAGTTCTCCCGGCTGAGGCCCGGTTCTGCGTTTGGAACCGGCCTGACCAGGGAGTAATTTCAGAACCCCGAGGTTCGAGCTGGCATGAAGCAGGAGGAACAAACTGGGTCAGAAAAATCCTGATTGCTGAGGGTTTCATGTTGGTCTTCATTGTTCAAAAGTTCTGAAAAGTTCTGGCTGCTGGATCCATCCATCCTCTGGTCCTGCTGCTGAGTTCCTGGTTCTGCCCAGCAGGGGGAGCTCTTCCCCCCCATGGAGGTCAGGGCAGCTGCTGCTGCTGATCCGCCCTTCCGGAGTCACCGACTCCCTCTCTCTCTCTTTCCTCCCTCTCTCTCTCCCTCTCCTTCCTCTTTCTCTCTCTCTCTCCCCTGCTCTCTTTCGCCTCCTCCCTTCGGTCAGTCCAGCAGCTTTTCCTCCTCTAGCGGCAGCTCCTCCATCTGTTGCCGTGTGCGGACCGTGCACGCTGCGGAGCCCCAGTGACTGACAGGTGAACTCACCTGAGAAAGACGGAAGTCTCCTGCAGGATCTTCTCTGGATACTTTGTCAGTTTTTCTGTTGATCAGGATGAAAAGAGTCGAGAGCAGCTCAGGTAGGAACAGGTGTTCAGCGCGTTGTGGAACCGGGCGGTACGGAGCCAAACAACACCCGCCTGAACCGAGGCAGGGAGGATTTCCTGACTCAGCCCAGGAACGTTCAAGAGTTCAGACGGGTTCAAATTGAACCGGTTCACGTTCATAGTTCCGTTGGGTCGTTGGTTTTGTTGGGTCAATTCTGGGTTGACCCAACATCGTTGATCACAGTGTTTGGTTCTCTGCAGATTCTGATTGACCCAATCTGGACCAAGACCACCCACTACGCAGAGATGTTCTGGAGGAAGGAGGCCGGGACTCTTCTGATGGTTCTGCTGGTTCTGTTGGACCCGTCCGCCGGGCATGAGCCTCAGCGGCCCGGGTCGAGGCGGCGCCACGCCAGGGACCAGGAGAGACGGCGCCCGTGGCAGAATATCACGCTGGCAGTGATCCTCCCTCAGAACGCCCGGTACCCCTGGGCCTGGCCTCGGGTTGGACCCGCGGTGGAGCGGGCCGTCAGAACCATCAACTCTGACCCGACCCTGCTACCTGACCACCGCCTCAGCTACGTGTTCAACAGCAGCGAGGACAGCAACGGGATCTGCTCCGAGTCGGTGGCTTCGCTGGCGGCAGTGGACCTGAAGCTGGCCCACGACCCGTGGGCGTTCATCGGCCCCGGCTGCTCCTACGCCGCCGCGCCGGTCGGCCTGTTCACCGCCCACTGGGATGTCCCCATGATCACGGCCGGGGCCACGGCCGTGGCGTTCTACAACGGCGTCTACCCCTCCATCACCAACACGGGCCCCACCCACAAGAAGCTGGGCCGGTTCGGCCTGCGGGTCTGCCTGGAGTCCGAGTGGAGGGAACACGTGGCACTGGTGTTCAGCGACCACAAGTACGATGACCGGCCATGCTACTTCGCCATCGAAGGTCTGTACGAGGAGCTGAAGGCGTTCAACATCAGCACCCATCACAGTGTGTTCGAGGAGAAGGAGATCAACTACGCGCAGATCCTCGCCGACATCCAGAACAGCGGCCGCGGTGAGTCCCACTTCCTGTTCCCACCGCAGGTCCCATGACCTGAGCCACAGCCTGTCAGGTGGTTCCATAGAAGGAGGCTGACCCGGTTCTGCTGTTTCCAGAAAACGGTTCTGTGTATTCCAGATCTGTTTCGAGAACCAACAGAACCTTTCCTGGGTTTTCCTTCATTCATCCGGTTCTGGAAGCAGAGCTGACGGATCTCTGCTCTGTTCTCTGATTCTCCCAGGAACAAGCCGGTCGGGTCAGTTGCAGCTGCTTTTCAGAACTCAGAGATTCGGTGAGGTCAAAGGTCGTCATTGAGCTCAGCTTTTATTGTCCTACGGTTCCTGTTCCACACTGAACGGTGTGATGTTTACAGTCACAAACGAGACTGAGGCGGTTTGTGACTCAGTCTGGTCACAAACCGCATCAGACCCATCCGAACCTGATGGGTCCAACAGACCCATCAGAACCTGATGGTTGCTGCGCTGCGGCAGAACCGTTTTTTTTTGGGAATGTTTTGGCTACAGATCGCTGATGACCCTAAATACGCCATCAGAACCAGGTCCAACAGGAAGCCTGAGCCCGATCCGGTCCAACAGCACCAACAGAACCGCAGTAGGAGTGGCAAGAAACAAGATCCTGCAATTTGGACCAGAACCAGAACAGATCCAGCTGGCCTTCAGGAGCAATGCACTAATTAGTGACTTTTATTGTGAAGGTTTACAGGAAGTTATTTGGAATCACCTGAACCATCTCTGCTGACAACCATCAGCATCATTTTCACCTCTGACCCCACCCTCATGATGGAGCCTCATGAAGTTCTGCTCTGAATCTGAGCCAGAGTCGGTTCTGATCCAGGTTCTATTGGATCCATCATCCTGACCATAGGTGAACGGATCCGGACCCCAGAACCGCTGTGACTTCCTCTGAAGGATCCCAGGGAGCCTGGGTCTGAGGTGTGAGCTGGTTCTGGTCCGGTTCTGCATCCTGATCCGACCTGCTGTTGGCTCCATTAGCCCATCCCCCCTGCTGCTGCGGCAGGAAATGCGATCCGGGTCGATGAGTCTGCTGAGTGAAAACATTACAGCTGCAGAGAAGCAGAACCAGCAGGAAGCGGCTGGGTCGGCCCGGTTCCTGGAGAACCTGAGCCGTTCCTCTGGAAAGTTCTCCGGGTCCGCTTCAGGAACCAACCAGAACATTGCAGTCTGGGTCGAACCGGGTTACAGATGATCAGGAACATTTTTATTTCTGTAAACCAAGACGCAAAAGAATCATTTTCCCAGCAGAGTCCAGACGCTCCGACCCGAACGGCAATAATCAATAAAGATCTGAATCCTCGGTGGAGGCGCCGTCCACATGAAGCTCCTCCCACCGTCTGACAGAAACATTTCAGGATTAGAAACACAAATTCTCCAGAACACCAGGATCATCGGCAAGGCGTTTATTCCCAGCTGTAGGAAACGTTCTGGTTCAGGACCGAGTCATGAATGAGTCAATTCGCTCCAACTCTTCTTCTCTTCCTTGTTTTGGGCAAAATGCAGGTTTTCAATTTAAAAAACAACAAATGAAATCTGGATTGAATGTCGTTGCTCTCAGCCGCTCCTGATGACGGCTCTGGTCCGGAAGATCCGGATTCACACAGCAGCAGGAATCACTGAATCATGAGAGAGCAGCGAGGCGATTTAAGCAAGAGCAAGGGGAACTGTGACGACCCCGGCTCTGGACACGCCGACGTGTTTCTGGACCCATCAGTTTTTGGATTCATGCTGACAACAGAAACGTTCTCAGCAGCTCCTGCCTTTAGTTTGGAGTAAAATCCAAACTATCTGTTGTGGTTTTCTGTTTTCCATCATGTTCATCTGGAGAAACCTGGAATCTGGCAGCGACAAACGGCTGGTCATTTATTAACCGAGGTCAGCGACCCGCCGCTCCGCTGCCATATCAGATCAGCAGGAATTTCCTGTTAAACACGCGCGGCCTAATTTTACCTCATTCCTCTGTTCCGTTCCCAAACATGGCCGACTGGGCCGAGAGCGGTCCTGATTGGTTCTGACCCCGAGGAGAAACCCGGAAGCAAGTCGGTGCTTCCTCCATTCCCTGGTTACCTGCTGCTGCTCTGCAGGCATGTGTATGTGTGTGTGTGTGTTTCCCTGTGCGTTTGTTTGTAATACCTTGTGGGGACGATTTTCCTGACACATACCACGTTGTGGGGACCAATTGCTCCTTGTGGGGACCGAAGCCTGGTCCCCACAAGGGGAAACTCTGTTGTCGGGTCAGGGGTCAGAGTTAGGACTAAGGTGTGATTTGAGTTTTGGGTGGTTAGGGATAGATATGTGATGGATGGGGTTAGGAAAAGGGTAAAGGTCAGGTTTAGGCTGTAGAAATGAATGGAAGTCAATGGAAAGTCCCCACAAAGATAGCAACACAAACATGTGTGTGTGTGTGTGTGTGTGTGTGCTGTCCTGTGTGTAGCTGACAGCAGAACCTGCTGACATGCATCTCAGCATCTTGATTGGTTCTGGAATATAAACAATCTGATCTTAGCTCCCATGAGGCCTTGACCACATTTAGATCTAAACATCTATAAATGTAGTTATAGACATTCCTGTTGATTTCCAGATGTATGTCATTGATAATCAATAATCAGAGCAGCAGTTGTTGATCCAGACGTTCTTATCTTGGTTGGATCGATGATTCCTGAAGCAGATGGGTTCTGGTTCTGATCCGTTAAGGCTCCGTGTCAACAGCTTCCTCCTCCTCCTGCAGTGATGTTCGTCTGCTGCTCTGCTGACGTCTTCAGGAAGTTGCTGGTCCACTTCTGGCGGGCCGACCTTCCTCACAACGAGTACGTCTTCCTCTTCATCGACCTGTTCGCCGACAGCCTGGGCTCCGGAGGCCGGTCGCCGTGGGAACGAGGCGACGAAGACGATGCCACCGCCAAGGAGGCCTTCCAGGTAAGAGCCGCTCTCCACCAATCAGCAGGAGGCCAGACTTTCACCTAATGAGAGGAACCTGGAGACGTTCTCCTGCTGGCTGTCAGTCGGAACCGGGCCGGGCGGAACCAGCTGAAACTGGAACCAAGGAAAAATGGATTGTTCTGGTCCAGTTGGTGCAGTTCCATGAGAAACCATCATCCATCATCCATCCATCCATCCATCCAACCATTTCTCCAACCATCCATCCATCCAACCATCCATCCATCCA